TTTAAGAAGCATGTTTCTAACTTTGAATGTGAACTATAAATCAAAATATCAAAACATTAATTAAGGACTTATTTGAAATAGTTATAAATAATTTTTCAAGTAAGCATATGAGGAGAGTTTCGTCTCGACATAAAAGTGCTTATAAATACTTAAAATAAATAGATGCAAATAAGTCCTAAAACAAGATCAAACGTAATTATTGAAATGAAGAGCAAGAAAATAAGGATAGCTCTAATATCATGTACACATATATAAAAGTCTTAAAAAACATAATTATTTTGCTGGTAAAAAAAAAACACATAATTATTCCAATTTAGTGGTAAGACACGGCCGAATAAAAGTACAAATCAAATCAAACGTGATCCTTCAATATTAGATATTGAGATTGCTCGTATAATAATTATGAAATGGTGCTCTTATTCGTGGTCCTCTTCTAGTGGACCCAATCCTACTAGCTTTGCATATTTGAGGCGGCTCCTCAATGCCTTAGTCAGTTCGGTTGAATCAACTCCTTCTCCAATTATTACCATTTTATCCTTCTCTCCCCTTTCCAATGTGACCGACAACACACCTACATACACATGTAAAATTCGGGGGGAAAAAAATCATACATCTCTAGAAAGGAAGATGACTTAGTGGAATAATTTATAACTAACAAATCTACACAGGCTATATTATGCGCAGAAATAATCAGAAAAAAAAGGAGGATGGGAATAATTTATAACTAATAAACACACCTTTGTGATGTAAAAGACGTCCCAAAAGAATCAATACATGCGTAAAAGTTATATTAATATGAAAAATTATTGTTACAATATATAATTATAAATAATCTCTTGACTTGGCAAATACTTTAAAGCAAAAAAAGAAAAGAAAAGAGTGAATAGTAGTAATTAAGGATTTTTATAAACATAATAATGTGCAATGAGGACTTTCAAATTGTGAATTGCAATGTTCTAGTTGTAAATAGATTCTCTACTTAGTTTGTAGTAATTCCCTCACAGAATCTTTAATTGTTATTCTCCAAAAGAAAAAAGGCAATATCTTCTGTTTTAGATATGGGTGATAGTTGAGGAGTTTATTTTCTAAACTTGTAATTTTTTCTCAAAGTATTTCTACTAATTGAATATGTTAAAAAGGTTTACATTAGTGAGGATAATTTCTAATGCCAATTATTAAAATGGTATTTTAAAAAAATCAACATGTATTTTTTATGAATAGCTAATTAAATTAATTTTTTGTAATCGCTAGAAATTAATTATCTAACGCCTACGTTTAAAATAACAAGAAGAAGTAAAAAGCTAATAAATCACTCACCAATTGCGGCAGAGGCTATGGTCAACGCCCTTGTTCTCCATCTTTCCTTGCTCAATGGAACCTCTATCACAATCCTTTGTTTCTTCACAAGGTTGAGCATTGATTTCATTAATTTGAATCACATATAGGCTTTCCTAGCGAGTTATTAACTACGCATAAATATAAGAGTAAAGCACATCTACTTCTCTTGAATTTCAATGAAATTATATATATTTAAAACTTACAAAGATTGTCCATAAAAACAAAAAAGAAATCAATTACACAAGTTACTCCCAAGTTTTCCCCCTAAAATTATATTGATATCTGTTCTATTTCAAGAAAAGGTTTGCATATATTTTGAAAAAGATAGAAGAATAATATTGGCAAAAGAAATAGAACATGAACCATTCTATAATAATATATATTATTAATATATGCACAGTATAAATTGTTATATATATGTAAAAATATATTTGGATATTTAAATTAATAATTTGATATAAACATGTGTAGTCGTATAACACTAATTTCGATAAGGGATCGAACTGGCTTACCACCATATAGCTAGCCTCTTTCACTCTTCAAAAACCAAGTTGTGGAATCACAGAGAGATTGATGAGTAGTGGAATTTGAAGAAGAATACAATCCGCTTTAATAGAACTTATATGTGTATATATAAGGTAGCTAGCTTGAATGAGAAAATTTCAGTTGACTAAATGGAAATAGCATTAAAATATAGACAACTAAACGCAACGATCCACATATTATGCATTCAGCGTATTTTACCCTAATTAACAAATTTATTAATTAGTTAAGTCAATTGTTGCTTAATTGTAATGAAGTCAAGGTCACGTAATAATAATATGCAACTTGGTTGATCAGCAGCCAAGTGCTGAAAATTTTGTTCCGCGTATTGCCATGCACCTGCAATGCCCTTTAAACCGGTTAAAATGAGTTCTTCGAATTGGACCTGGGACCGGTATGAGAGGGAGATATAAAAAAACAAAAAGCAGTTTAAAAATTTGGCACTTTTTAAACCGGTTGTACAACCAGTTTAGAAATCCTAGTTACTACCTCTATTTCTTAACATAAGATGTAGATAATTAATTTAAAAAAATTGAAAAAAATAGCTTTTATAACAAATATATATTAACTTTTCTAAATTATTCTCTTTAATCATGTGCATTAAAATTATTACTGGGTGGAAACTCCTTACAATCAATAGGAGATATTTTAAAGAAAAAATTATAAATTTGGCAGAGAGAGGTGTAAAATCTTATATATTTAGAATTAAATCTAACCTCCAATTAACTTTTAAATTAAGAATCAGAGGAAGTAAAACATAAAAGCAAAAAAGGGAATAAAGTGAACAAAACTACATTCAAAAAGAGAAATTAATCTGCATGATCCTGGAAGTAAACGCTCAGAAAGTCAAGAAAACAAGTTCTTTTCCTTTTCCCTGAAAAAAAAATCAGTAGCATGCGATGATGAATTACTCGACTGAGGATATGTCGTCCCTTTACGTTAAAACATTATTGAGTGTATCAATCTCAGCCTCCATATCAGATTCATTGACTGCTTCTCTGAAGATTGAAGCAGACAGCCATTTGAATAGAACTGCCTACCTTTAATTAAACGATGCCATTGAATGGCCAAAAATCCTTAGGGTGTGTTTGGATGAAACCAAACCGTGGTTTGGAAAAGTGATTCTGGAGAATAGATTCTGGGGAAAATAGATTCTGTGAAGAATAGATTTTGTAAAAAAGTGATTCTGAGAAGTGAGAATGTTTGGATAGTTGTTATCAAAAACACTTTTTATATATACAAATTACTAAAAAAAAGACATAAGTTAATATGATAATTACAGAAAAAATAGATTTTATGATATATTTTAATTTGAAGGAATAAAATTGTTAATAATATGTTTTTTACCAACATAATTAATAATACATAAGATAATATAATTAATAAATAATTAATGTGTATATATATTTATAAAATATAAGATTAAATATATTTATAAAAAATATGTTTATAAAAAAAATAACAAGATACATATCATATAGGCCCTCACACTCTCCCTTTTTTCTCCAAAAGCAAAAAAATTTTGCTTTTTCCAAAACCATGGTTTTGGAGTCAAAACCATGGTTTTGACCCAAAACCATGGTTTTGGTTTTTAGAGGGGGTGTTTGGGTGACTAAATCCCCAAACCATGGTTTGGGTCCCCAAACCATGGTTTGGGGTGTCACCCAAACAGACCCTTAGTAGATGTGGGAACTTGCATATAGTAGGGTGTCTGAAGGATATTACACAAGGACAGCGTCAAGCTCTTACATTGCATAAATCTTCTCTAAATAACAAAGAATTTCACAGTTGTGACACGATATTACATGGTGAAGATCAACAAAGATTGATTCAGTTGATATTGATAAGGATTGAGCCTATAATCTAGAAATGTGCAGGTCCAAATTCTTGTATTAGTAATGAAGCTTATTTGGACCCTGAAGAAACCCCAGAACTTAATTCATATAAGCTAGAACAATGGGGGAAAACAAAGGATGCACCAAAAATAATAGTCATAAAACAAAGCAAAGGACAAGAAATAACATCAATAACAAAAGCTAATGTTATGCATCTTTTATTTTTCGGCCGGTAATGTTATGCATCTAAAAGCAAACATAGACATTTAAGTCAGGCCATCATTGTAGCAGAACAGCATATTTAATTGGGTCCACCTCAGATAAAAAAGGAAACGAATTTCCTTTTTGTTTAATTAATATTCATAGTTCCCAACTCTTTGTTATGAAAAGCAACTCAATTGCTCCAATTTTAGAAACGAGCTAGACTAAGCGGCAAGCATGCTGGCTCATCAATCAGACTGAACTTTCTAAGCTAATCCCAATAACAATGACCAGACTTAAAAAAACATAAAAATAAAAATCCTATGTTTGTGCATATACCCAGTGATATCATACTTCTGCTTTAGCATTTCAATAACATAAGGCCAAAGAAAAGAACCGTCTTCAAATAGATTATATGTTTTTGTAATTATTGTAAATAATTCTATTCAGAGCTCATTTCTATCATACAAGCGTGAAGCATTGTTGATTGTTAATAGCTGAACATCATTTCTTTAAAGGAGAAAAAGATATTCTCGTGGTGCTAATAACTGTGCAACTCACATGACATTTAGCATCATTTTCCAAGAGAAGAAATAGCCAACACAAATGTGGCAAATGAATTTGTGACTATCAATTCAGTCCACTCTTAGTCTCATGTATCATATATAAATCAGTATCCTTAGACCATTTTAAAACCAACAAATGCTTTTTTGCCATGACAACCTAGACTGAATTCTGAATTACAAAACGCATGACCTAGCATTCAGATCAGAAGATCCCACCAGGCAGAGACTAAGAATGGTTTTAATTCCATAATCTGCTGAAGGTTTTCTATCATGACATTGCAGGAAGTCATAGAACTAAACAGCATGATATTCCAAGCAGAGGAAGCACCGATTCATCAATTCAAACAACGTAGTTTGGTAGAGGTTTTTTTCAATGAGGCACCTCACCATAGAATCAAAAGGAAAACACCAAATTATATGACAATTTTACAGGTGAATTATGCAGGAGAGCTAAAACACTAGTTATTAATTAAATCCCTCAAAAGGGTCTCATGAAAACAATGCCCATCTGGATTGATTAAAAATAAAACAATCTTAAATTTTCTCTGCACAAAAGTCTTAAGCATACAAGGTTTACAATGATATATAACCAAAACTAATGATAAAGCATGTAGATGTGTCAGATGCAGAAATTAATAAGAGACGTCTCTAACACATTCAAATATTTTGATCAACTTATCACCTATTAAGTTATGTACAATAAGCACCCAGTCCCAAGTGCTTGAAACACCATATTAGTAAGACCACCCATAAAACAAAAATGCAGAAATGAATGGCTTAACAGTGTCCATTCATTCATTTGTACCTGCACATGCAATGTTTCTTCAGCCTACATATTAAGTTTAGCTGTACATCACAATTTGATCCTATTCCCTCCTATCCTTCTGTTATGTCCAATGTTCCAAAGATGTTGGAATAAAAATACCCTTCCAATGATTAAACAAGATCAGGGTTCCATGTGAGCTGCCAATCAGTCATTCTCCGTAACGATCTAGCCATATGCTCATTTGAAGCACGAATGTGAAGTAATCTGTTTTGCATATCTCTAAATGAAGGAACACTAATTGCATCAGATACTCTATCACAGTACAAAGGATCCTCAGCAAAGTTGACAAGAGCCTCAGCAGCATTATCCCTTACTTCCTCCAACTCATCATGCAGCATCATTTCGATGAGAATTGGGATTGCCCCTGCTTCAGCAAGTGCCATTCTATCTGCCTCATCATAGCTCAGTTGAGCACATGCCCCAGAGACGTTCTGCTTTATCTCTTCATTTTCACTCTCCAGTCGCTCAACCAGAATTGGAATCACACCTGACTCCCGGACCATAGATGTTGCGTGCTTGTAACTTGCCAGATCCCATAACACATCAGCAGCAGAAGCCTTTGATTCATCATCACCTTCTCTAAGAATTCTCACCAAGTGCCTGGTGATTTCAACAGCATTCTCCTCAGCAACAGCCAATATACAAAATACGTCCTCAGCAATCTCCTTACCAGAAGGGTCAGGTCCTTGAAGAAGCTCAGCATAGAGACTGATAATCCCAGATTGACCAACTAATCTACTATAATCAATATGAGCAGAGATCACACCAAGCGCATTACCGGCCACAAGTTTCATGATGTGGTCTCCATCACGAAGACAGTCAACAAGTACTGGAATCACTCCTAGTTCAACTAGTGTACGCCTGGCCCGTCTTGGGACACCAAGTAACCCGATTGCTTGACAAGCTCTTTCCCGAGAAACCATGCTACCACAGCTAGCAGCCTCCACAAGAAATTTAAGACTTCCTAATCTAGTGAGTGCCCTCCTAACATCCCTCAGCAATGCTAATGCACTCAAAATTTCCAACAGGTAAAGTCTAACATCATCTGTATAAGAATTTAACAAACTAATGATAATTTCTACGCCTTCATTACCAGCGACAACTGCACGACTTGAATTACAGAAAGTAACAAGAACGAGCAAACATTTTATCAGGACTACTTGAAACTCGCCATTAGAATGTGACAACCACCATAACAAAGGATTTGCTCCATCAAGTCTACCTATTTCCTTTGCCAACCCACCATCACCTCTACAAGCTATACATTTTAAGCAATAAGCAGAAGCCTTTTGAAGAGAACAGTCTGAATTAACTGAATGGTAGTCATCGAGATTCTCAATGAGATGGGGTATAATGCGAACTAATAAACCCTCAGGGGCATGTTTAGAGAGACGGGCTAGCTTCGTCATGGCTTTTATTTGCATAGTCTCAGTACCCGAGCACATCACCGTTTCATACTGACTCAGAGCTTGTTCCCAATTTATAATAGATTCATCAATACTTTCAATGTCCGAGTGACTCATTTCAGAGAATCGAAACCTGAAGTTATTTAAACAAAATGAGCTTCGCACTTTACAGTTTGAAATAAAGAGAAAAGCTATTACATTATTATTGTGAAACAATTTCAATACAGCTATTCACACATCAGAAATGGAAGAAGAACAAGGACGAGTAACTAATGATACAGACAGAAACAAGAAATGATTAGAACCAAAAGGCGATAAATTCAAATACCCCTTGTGGAGGAGCCGCTGAACTTGAGAGAAAGGCAATGGAATCGAACAATCAGTGAGATGTCTCAAAGACAACGAAGACTGACTGGTTTGCGTGGACACTTCAACCGCCAACTTGACAGGAACGGAAGCCCCGAGGAACGCCTGGTTGGGTCGGTGATGCGGCTCAAGGCATGATTAACTATTGGCTGGCTTTAAGAAATGATTACTTCACCTTCTAGTCGATATTGCAAGGTACTTCCAATCATTTCATCAAGATTAATGAATAACACTGAAGTTATTAATTTTATCCATTTAATTTAAATTTATTCATGTTTCATATCATGAGTTACATTCAATAATAAAATGTTACTCTTCTGATCTTATTTATAGAGTAGAGAGAAAAGATTTTTTTGATCATATTTACAGGGCACAGAGAGAAATTTTTTATATAAATATACAATTTTACCATTTATTTATTATTGTATTGATTTTGTTTACATAAGGTATAATGTGTATTGAATAGTCCGGTCAAAAAAAAAAAGTGTATTGAATAGTAATAAAATTGGAAAGTTGCTGAATTTTAAATTAGAGTTAATGAATTTTAAAGTTTTTATTGGTCTATATGAAATATGTTAGAAATGACTTATAAATAGAAGGGTTAAGATGTGCCCAGCACCTCGAACTGTTTTTTCCAAGTATGCCCAGTATTCTAAAGTAATTTTCGGTGTATTTAGTGTCCCAAACTAATTAAAATGGTGCATCCATATCCCGGGCTAATAGAAAAGTTAAGTTTGACCGTTACTTTGCTGACTCAACCGAAGGTTGACTGGAAAATCCAACGTGGCGGATACGCAGGCGTTTGATGTGTATTATTTTGACGGCTTAAGGTATGCCCAGCATTCCAAACTATTTTTCCAGGTGCGCCTAGTGTCCTAAAATAATTTTTTGTGCATCCAGTGTCCCAAACTAGTTGAAACGATGCGTCCACATCCTAGGCTAATAGAAAAGTCTCATTTGACCATTACTTTGCTGACATAAATCAAAATATTTTTCTTTGGTATTGAATGCACTAAAAATATTTTTTTTAACCCTAAATAGAACCATATGAGTAACTTGTATCCAGCACATTAAAATATCTTTTTGTCTTAGTACTGAATACACTAAAAAACATTTTTGGGTGCTAAACCTAAAAAAAAAAAGTTAATTGCTTAGTGCATCAAAAATATTTTAAAGTGCTGAAAGCATTTTAGAAAAAAAACTTCGAGATGCTAGATGCATCGCAAAATACTTTAGGATGTTGGATATATTTGAGAAAATACTTCGAGGTGCTAGATACATCGTGACCCTTCAATAGAGATATCTAATATAAATAATTTTAACATACGTAATTAATACCCCTCTTAATGGTTTATGCTAGTAACATCAATTTCTTTTAAAAGGTACTACTCATATCTTCTTATTTACAAGGTAGAAAGGGGGAAAAAAAATCTTTTAGTCCTATTTATAAGTCTTGCCATTCAACCTCACGTAAATGCATAATTTTATCATTCATTCATTGTTACATTGACTTTATTCTCATTCGTATAATATAAATTTATTAAGAATGAAGTTGGAAGTAACTTATAAATATCACCATAAAAGTATTTTATAATAAGCACACCACATGATATGTATAGGTTAAGGCTCTTAATTATCTCGAAAATATTCATGAAGAGATACTCATCATTTGGTAGTTTTTTTATTCCTCAGATATACCCAAAAAGTTTTATTTTATAATATTTCTACTTTGAACTATCATCCACCATTAAGCTTGATTATTAAAGACTATGTTGAAACTGCATAATTTAATGATCAAACTTAACGGTAACTAATGGCTAGGGTATATTTGAAATAGACTTCCTAAATAGACCAATAAACTTAACTTTTTCATAGTAACTTCAGAATATAACTTTTTATAACCAAACCATGCTAACAATAAATTCAAATTATATCACAATCATATAAACTAACTAATTATATAGTAATGTTATTTGTGTTAGAAAAAAGCAACACCAAATCATATATCTTATCATAAATAAAAGAACTTTTCTCAATTCATTCAAATGCAAACCATGTAAGAAAGGATCAATTTCATCTAATATAGTTATAAAACAACATATTGTATAGCTCATAAATCAAAATAGTAAGAATTAAGTTTTAATTCAAATTTTATAATAAATTCATAATAAACAAATCACATGCGATACTAGGCCTTTGGCCAACTACCAGCATGCATATCACAAAAGTATAAATCAAAGGACATGAAAATATAATAGTGCATGAATCAATTAAACACAATTTGTCCTAGGGTAGCTAATGTAGCTTTACTCCTCCTAAACCTTTCCTGATGTCCCTCCTCTAAAACTTTTACCTAAAAAATGTTAAATAAGAGGGATGAGACAATGTTTCAGTAACTAAATTCTTATCTATCACACACACTAGCATGGGATAACAAGGTGTTAAGTGGGATATATAGAATTAATAAACAAATAATCATTTATTTAATGGTTAAATTCACAATGAAAATCAGATAATTTAGCTAGTCTCATACAGCCAACAATATCATAAGGGATAACATACTTTTCATTTATCCAAAAGATATAAATATCAATGATGATTCCATGTTATATGCAATCCATGAAGTCAAATCCACCTTTTTATCCTCTTTATTTTTGCCAATCGGACCCATGGGCTAAGTTCTTTCTATTTAATTAGCTACTCTCATAAGCTCACCACACAAGTAATGTGGACCAGCCAAAAACCACAAAACACTAAGTGGATCATGGGTGCCTCTTGAAAAACTAATGGGGTATTGCAATCCCTTAAAGAATTAGTGGGATAATAATAGTAGCTAACCATAGAGTTTTGTATAGAGGCCAATACTACGTGGCAAGTATATAGATCTCAATAACTTCAATTATCTCCTCCACAACCAATCCCAAATGCACATGATTCAAAATATTCAAGTGATTATACAAATATAGAAACATAACTCATTGAAACTTTGACTCACGTATCATATTCTAAAGATCAATTATTTTCAAACTCACTTTATTCAATTCCCTTCAAAACAGTATCTCACAAGACAGTTTATGCAAATAAAACTTTCATACAAAAGAATTCAATTGTAAAAACCACTCACCAACATATACCAAAACATGCGATAGATGGAAATTTAGTTACTCGATCTCTTAGCTAACAATCAAATACAAATAAGACCCAAACTCGAAAATGCCACAATAGACTTTATATCTACAAATGAAATTAAAACGTTATCTCTATAATATTAGAGTAAACCATTTATAAATTTCTAACCTCTAACTCCTCCTCTAAAACCTTCAACTCTTACTTAGAATTTTAGCTTGAAAGGGTTTTTTAAGGTTTGGAGTAAGAACATATATATGAGGATTTAGATTCAATTCCTAGGTTCCTTTAACTTATATTATTCTTTAATTATTAAATTACATCATTAGAATCACCAAATTCACAATCTAGATAGAAAACTCCAAATTTATAGCCCATGTTCTATCCTCAAAGAACTCAAACAAATAGATCTAATGTGAGTTAAGTTATTCTCACTATAGGAGTCTAATTATTGATTCCACTATTGAATTTAACATTTTAGATGTCACAAATTAATTTCCTAAATTTTGGTTTGATCCAACAGTGAACAAATTTACAAACGATAATTTACTATTTAAAGTTATATCTACAAAATCTAAAAAAATGTATTCAAAGTGTACATAATAACTCATAACCTAGAGATTAGATTGATGATCTAACTGTTGAAATGGGCAAGTGTGAAGTCTTGAACTAGCTGACCAAATTTAGCTCGATCCAACGATTCACAGACTCATAAATAGCACTTTACTGAAATTATTTCAGTTTTGTGTGAACATTATTCAACTTATTTTTAACTCTTCCCTACTACCAACTATATATAGGCTCTTAGATCACCATCTTTTCATTGTTTAGTCAATGTAGAACTTCTCAGCATTGTTGTTTTATCTATCTTTCCATCATTTAGTTGATGTGGGACTTCTCAGCATTGTTATTTTATTCATTTATTCACACACACATGCACACACACACACACATATATATATATATGTTCATACGTATACACATATACATATTATTATAATTATTTTAGTTGCTTGTATATATAGATTTAACCTCTGCCTATTCAATCTTAATAAAAACTTACTTAAGTCTTGGGGATATGAAGATTAGGATGTTACAATATTTGCTACAAAGATAAACTTCCAAAATATTTAAGAGCAAAAAAATTTCTAGGTGTTGGGTGCTCCTTTATGGGTAATTTCAGGATATTTAAGCACCTTAACCCTATATATTTTAAATAGACAATACCATCGAGTTACTTACATTTATTATATCAAGTTTTTTAATTGCATGGTAAAGAATTTGATATAATTATTTTTCATATTAATATCATTTTTGTCCCAAACACATGTTGTATATCTATTAAACAAATGTATCAAGTATATAAGGAAAAATTTCAACTTAGGACATCAGATGACAATTAATTTCAAACAGCCCCCAAAAAATTCTAAAATTTCACTGAAGGACCTAGGGGGCAAATTAAAATTAAATTCACAAACTATTTTACTGAAATGCTTTGCAAAATATGATTTGCTAAAAAGGAAGAAGAAAGAGGGAAAAAGGAGAAGTTAGTGCTAGTTGTTCCCATACCTATACAGTGATGAAAGGAGATGATCAATGAGAATAAGTTGAGAAAATGTAGCGGATGATGGTCTATCTGAAAGTGCATTCGTGGCGGTCTGTGGAAAGTCACCATTAGTGTTGCTAGAAGTAAGAGAAATTGTAACTGTGGCTTATGATATGGCGTTGTGATCATCTCTGGTGCTTGGTGTGTGAGGTAAACTTTTTTTTTCTTTCCAAATTTTCATTTTGTTGGGTTGAGTTGTTGAGCACAATTGGGTTGTGATGGCTTAATAAAGTAGAAAAGAGTGTTTAAATGCATGGGTAAGTAGGTAGTGATGAAAGGAAAAATTTGATGGTGCTTTAAATTTTAAAAAGGGACTATTATTTTCTTGTTGTT